TATATATATATATATACTGTATATATATATATATATACTGTATATATCAAAACATCCGTAATGAGTTTTGTGCCTCCTGCTGGTTTGAAAGACTTCACTAAATCTGACTTTATTTGTTTTAGTGTCTTTCAGGAAATTTGGTCATCAACAATTTAAATGCAGTTAATATTATTAACATCTGATTACTCATTCAGCTTTTACAGAATGTTTCCCCTTCTGTACTTTTCAACAACTATGTGGTTGTTTTATTGGAAAGTTTTGGTTCTTTGTCCAATGATGTTTAAAATTTTTGAGTTTGTTTCAGAGTCTAAAACACAGTCCAGTCAGAATCTGAACCTTAATGCCGTCCATACCTCTAAGTAACAGCATCACATTTTACCTGGTAAAGTTAAATATTTTCCTGAGTTTAACAAGTTTAATAATTTGAACATACTTATAAAAAATAATAAGTTTACTAAACCTCATGTTAACTTTCTTTGTCTTGGAGTGTTCAATTTGCACTTATGGGATTCCAGTGTTTTTCCTTAAAGCTTCCTGAGTGGCAGGGCGGCGCCAGTGTGCAGAGCTGTGGCCATTTGAGCTCCAGGTGTATAATGGTCTGCTGAAGTGTTCTCTGGAACATTGGATACCAGAAGTTAAGTTGTTTATTTGTCATATGCAGGTTAACACAAGGTCAACAATGCAATGAAATGTTTAGGATGAGAAGAACCGAATCGACTTGCTAACAACAACAAAAAAAAACAAACAAGAAAATACCAAAGCGTGCAATAAGGGTACAAAATAAAGTCCCAAACGTGAAAAATAAATATATTTACAAGGTCCAAAAGAAATATAGTAAACAACAACACTGTAGAATATAACGGTGCAAGTAGGATGAATTCTTATAAATAAGTATTTCACAGGTAATATAAGCTTAAATGCACATATTGCACATAACACATACGACACAGGTTCTGTGACATGTTCTTGCACAGGTAGTGACATTGAGAACTGAATTATAGTAAAGTAGTGACATACATCATACAGCCACATAGTACAGCAGCAACAAATATTAGGTGTCACAGATGTGGCTGGGTGCAATGTTAATGTATATTTATTAAGAGTTCAGTAATCTGACAGCTTGTGGGTAATAACTGTCTTTTCGTGTGCGATGGGAGGCACATGAATGGTAAATGGTCTGTACTTATAAAGCACCTTTCTATTTTATCAAGATACTCAAAGCTCTTTACACTACAATCTGTGGCCTCATTTACCCGTTCATACAGTAATCTACTACATCTGTACAAAGAATAATCAGTGCTTTTAAATCACATTCATGCACGGATGGGGCACATCGGAGTCAATGAGGGGTTCAGTGTCTTGCCCAGGGACACTTCAGCATGTAACCTCTGGAGGAATCGAAACCCCAACTCTTGCATTGGAGGATGACTGCTCTAATCACTCAGCCACAGCCATCATGTACAACCAATATTGCGACATCCTGCTTGTGTTTTCTAAAACTAAGAATTTTACTTATCAGTTCTTCTCTCTGTCCTCCTAGTCTTAATTACCGAACATCCTTTTGGACTTCTCCGTTCTCCGTGTCCACAAGCTGAGTACAGTCTTGTAACTCCGCTTGCCTTTAACCTAAACCTGCTCTGCTGCTCACCTGTCTGCCAGCCTGCCTTCAACCTGCCTGCCATCATACATACCTGGAATCTTCCACCCTCCTCTCTGTGCCGTCGGACCACACGTGACCTGTAAGAATAATACTATTTAATTCTACCCTTACCACTACATAATCTGGAAACCATACTTACCCGTCTCCCTCCTTTGCAGATCTTCCCAGTGTCTCCTCTAAATATCACTCTGTAAATAAATACCACTTCACCTTTTATCCCGAGTTACTTGAGTCTGTTACACTCAGTTACTTTGCTCTGGGTATTTATTGTTGCAGTTGTGATCATTTCACTTTATATAGCACCCAATAAACAATGAAAATGATCTCAGGACAATATACAGAACAAGTAAATCAGTCCAAATAAAACCTGTGTCAGTTAACATGTTGATTTATTATTATTTTTTTTATGTCTGCTTGGAAAGCCAGTGAATTGCAGAGATTATTCATCTGAATCTTTGAGCCAGCACAGATTGGCAGGCAATGTTTTGTTTTTTAACAGGAAGAGACCTGCAGTACCAAAGTCAGGAAGGACGTCAATCTGCTTT